CACAAGCTAGATCTTAGGGGCAACATTGCATGAAAACATCAGAAAGAAACTACTTTCATAAGTGTCTTTTCTGCTCATATGGTTACATATTTGGTTTATCCCCATACTTCCATGTTCAACAGACCATCGCTCCTTCACTAACTCTGTGAATGACAGTGAGACCATACATTAATCACAATCACTTACATGCTTTCATAAAAAGATCTTATTTCATGTTTTTTATTTTCTTTGAAATAAAAGTTCCAAGGAAAAACTTAACATTCTATGACAAGTCCAAGTATTCAATCCCAACCCTGAATAACAAGAATATCAAATCACTGTGAAAATATAAAGTACCAAAAAAAAGTAGCTTATCATCAGTGAGTGAGTGAGTGAGTGAGTGAGTGAGTGAGTGAGTGAGTGAGTGAGTGAGTGAGTGAGTGAGTGAGTGAGTGAGTGAGTGAGTGAGTGAGTGAGTGAGTGGTATTGCAATTACACCATGAAGCATTCAGTAGACAGAGACTCAGCCATGTTCCTTTATTGAGACCTTGGTGCCTGTCTGGCCAGCATGTAGGTCATAAACTCTATGTCTGAACAAAGTGTCGGAGGAAAACCAGTATAAACCTTGTAATCTATATAGCAGTAACGTTGGCTTCCTAAAGACCAGCTGCAACAAAATCTCTTAGACTAGACTTCAGATACCTTTCCTCAACACAAGGAGCCCTAAAACCCATTTAACAAGAGGAGAATGGAGTTTGTGACTGGGAAATTAAGGGATAAGTGTTCTTCTGTGTTGTCATAACACAACTGATCCATTTTGATAAAACAGACTCACATTAACAAAACTTATCTATTTCAATACAACAGACCTACATTTCCCGATTTCAACATAGACTAATAACTAGTCTCTGAAATGAACATATTTTACAGAAAAAAAACCCAGTTCATAATAAAAACAAAAAATATAATAAAAGGAGCCCTGAGACTTTCTTCAAACTGTGGAAATCTAGACTTGCCACATAATCTGGACTTGCATGGGCTTTCTTGGATATATTTGTTTCAGGTCTGTATGACAGACTATTTTCAACACAACTGATCCCTTTTGACACAAGTGTATAAAAACTACAAATTAATAACCTACAGTTTCATGCCATCAAAACACCAACATTATTTCAACATCATGTTGACACACAGCAGATTATATACAATAAAGTCACCACTTTACATGAAAGAAATCAAATATCAAACCAACAAAATAACAAAACCAAGACTAGTGTCAATTTCAAACCAGTTCACACTATAAATAACATGACAGCATCAGTTTTGGAACACGCAGTTACCATGACAATAACCTCTTCAAAAACTGCATAACAAAAATAAATACAAATGAACAAATATTTTGAAAAATAGGTAAACTGACACAAGCATCAGTTCCAACCTGCAAAATGGTGCAAAACCAAATGCACACACTTTCTGGAATTCCAACACTCAAAATAAAATAACATGGACAGGCAATCACAAATCTCATCAGTCACAATAAAACGTCTGCCAAGAAGAGCATTTATCTGTATTTCTGAAAACTTCTGTTTTTATAATGAAGACGTCCCCACCCTATACCCATAAACTTCAGCATACATCAAGCACACAGATTCAAAAGCATGAGAAAGATTGTCACATGGAAGACAAGAATGTGAAAATTGCCAAAACTTCTCCCCATCTGTTCATTCCGATAAGAGGAGCCCCAAATGTTTACTAGCAAGAGATAAACCCCTGTCTGTTATAGTAATTTACGATGATAGTAGCAACATTTGCATCATGGCAAAGTAAACACATTTTTTCAAAAACATTTGTTCCTCATAATTGCCCAGAGTTTCAGCTACTTTGTGTTACATTAAGTTCGTATATTGCACTCTGCATCTGTCAAGAGTAATCACTGATACAGTCTAAAGGTTCTGCATGAACCACAAAAAAATATTTTGTGTCTTTTAATATTTTTAAGACAGGTGACTGAAATGAATATCCATAAATAAGTTCAAAGGTTGCTTTTTTAGCCATTAAAAATTGAAAAATTATCTTTTTGATAGCTTGTGACGTATCATCGTGAGAAATCTTGCATTTATGAATGGATGTATTTAGATATATCATAAGCACATATACCAGCACATCAACTGCAGACATACTTGAAGGACACCGTGACATGCCAGACAGTCTTTGTTATAATTTGGTACAACACTATCAAAACCAAATCCCAAATATTGTTACTAACAATTAATTCTAGATGAACATGCATCAAATATTATTAATGTCAAACAACAGTCAAGTATCTTCATGCTGTCATTATAACAAATTTGCAAAATTAAAATAAAGTTTTTCTTTAATAATTTTAAGTTTTAATTGTATGTGCAAACCATGACAGAGATTTTTAATTGTGCAACACAAAATCAACATATAAAACCATCAATCCTAATGGTCAAGCCCTAACTGAGATGGCTGTCAGTATGTTTCACAAATAAAGTTCGTCATTGACAGAGTTGATACCATGTATGGCTCTCAACAGCCAGTAAACTGAACATGTGTCTCCATATATCCCATCAGATATTCCAGTGATCATCTATAGTAAGCAAGTGATCATCTATTGATCAACGTTGTGACATGTGGCACATATTCGTGTGTTATACTGTATATCAACTGGGGTTTATTCCTCTCCATTGCATGGTCCCTGGTGTATACGAGTCTGTGAGATGTGTAGATATCAGTGTTATTGCCCATCCATCAGCAGCCTTGACAACTGCAGCCAATCTGTATCCATGGTGGATGGAGCTGCGGCACCTGCTGCATGTATCACTGAGCCAATGGGAATGTGTCACAATACTTGAACAGACAATACATGTGACGATGCTTGAGTCCAAATACAATACCTCTTGTATCGATACATATCACGATGCTTGAGTCCAAATACAATACCTCTTGTATCGATACATATCACGATGCTAAGTCTTCACTGTTTTTGCAGGAAATTTTCCATGTGATCGACAAGATACTGTTTCAAATAACCAGTTTGCACTTAACTTGCTTGACTGGTTTACTGAAGCTCATTCTCAAAGTATCATGTAATAGGTGGTGAGGTGAAATTGGTTTTAACATCGTGCTTGAGAATATTTTGCTCATATGACGACGTGCATGCGTGTGCATGTGTATGTGCGCCTGCTTGTACTAGCACCAGGCAGGGACCAACAAGTACCATATTTTAACGTCTTTTGGTATGACGCGGTCGGGGATTGAACCTGCAACCTTCCGCTCTCCGGGCAGAGTTCTAACCAGTACACCACGGAGGCGGTCTGCATCATGTAATAATATTTAGCAGTATTTAGCAGTCATGCTAAATACTGGTTTGACTTTACAAGTCTGAACTTGTCCCCTGACATTATCTTCATTTTCAGTGGAACTTTGTGTTCATGTACAGACTTATACCATCAAAGCTTACTAGGTCGAAAGAAAATGTCCAAGACTCAAGCATCAGAATAGTTAAAATCACAAACTGTGAGTGGCGGTAAAGTATTGCCATCTCATATAGTCCTTAGGCCAAAATGAAAACAGGGGTCGTACATGGTATCGTCTGGAGAATTGTGACACTCCCAATGAGGCTACAAGAACCTGCTGAATGCATGGAAGTAAACAAGAGTGATGGTGCCATGAAACTGTAAGTAACATACTAACGACGTAACTACTCAATGACGAAGAGTATGTAAGGGAGGTAAATCTGTATCCAACAGTCAGAATCTATTTTTTGTGAGTTCTACCCTCTCAAGCCTAATGTAGTGGAACAGCCTGTGAAATGGTGGCCAACATTGTTCTGACATTACAATCTTGGAAATGGCTTTCAGGAAGCAAGGAGAGTGTGAAATATAGACATCAACATTGTTTCAGACAGGGCTTGTATTCTATAGGCTGTGGTGCCAGACTTCTGAAGATAATCCATCTGTTTTCTTCACAAAATATAATCTGTGACTGCTGAATACAGAAGCCAGGGGTGAAAACTGACACTTTCTCTCTATCCCATTATTGCAATTATTTTTTCTCCATATGACATTTCTTTTAACCATACAACAGATTGATACCATATAGACAACAAAACTCATTTGATAGAAACATTCAGTACAAAACAAGAAGTGTCAGTTTTCACTCAACAATAGGAAAACAAACATATAAGACATGAATAATCTCAATGGCAGAGATTCTGAAAAGCATGGAATGTGTATATATATATGTTCCATCACACTGACATAAATACACCATAAATCCTTGACTTAATGCATGTCATTAACTAAAGCCCTCAGATATGAGGTAACAAATTTGATAGACATATTCTGATATGTTACCAATAACATGAAAATGTAATTATCTTACACCACATGAAACGTGTCTCTGATCACATTTTAGCTATAGTTGAAGTATGACATGCATTTCAATCAAGGACTTAGGATTGTGAATCATGTTCATATCAAGGCACAACAACATGAATACAATGTCATGTAATGTGATGTACTGATTTTCAAAGAGAGTATTGCAACAGTCAATATCATATGTATATTTCATGTTTCAGTGTTCCAGAGAAAACCTGTCATATCCAGATTTACCATTTCCAAGGAAATAATCTACATAATCAACAGTCTCTATTGATGAATGACAGTTTAGAATATTATCGTTTCATTAATATACTTATTCCACATAGGGGGAGTTTCAGACAAACATGGTCTTGTTTGTAAAGGTTTCACTGTATGTTTCTGTCTCAGTGAGTGAGTGAGTGAGTGAGTGAGTTTTACGCCGCTTTTAGCAATATTCCAGCAATATCACGGCGGGGGACACCAGAAATGGGCTTCACACACTGTACCCATGTAGGGAATTGAACCCAAGTCCTCAGTGTGACGAGTGAACGCTTTAACCACTAGGCTACCCCACAGCCCGTTTCTGTCTCAGAGATGTGATGGTCAGTCTGTATATATCATGTATATCAAACCTACCTGGAAATGTAAGATAACAGTCCATATCAACCCCAGGGTCAGTTTGGGGTTGCCGTCCACAATTTCATCGGACCTAATATTGACCAGTCGTATCTAAAATCAAAGTAAATTGATCATGAATATTTTATCCTTTTTGTGTTCATGAAATCTTTATTTTCCACAATGTAACAGATTTTATAACACTTCAGTCAATAAACATCACAATTACCAATTACAGAAGATAACTTAATAACATGGAATCAGAATATCAACAACAGAACTTTCTTTTTCATATAAATGATATTTTAGTACTTGATATCATGATTCAAATGGAAGAGCATGCGAAATACCATATGCCTTGATATCAATACACAAATGTTCCTCTAACAGTTACAGGATGTACTAGGCAACACTAAGTTGTCTCCCTTTAATTATCAACAATGCAGCTTCGACAAAGCCTGTAACACCGAAATTGTTTTCCAGTTTCAATACTACTTACCCCCTTCATTTTGAGAAACTCTAAGCTTATCTGTACATTCTGAATTTTGTGGAATCTCATGTGTCCTTTTTCTCTTGGCTGAAACAGAAAATAGAAATTCTAATTTAATCACACCTATGAATTATACATTGAAATATACCAAAACCTTAAGTAGCGGGGGGGTCTCACATGGAATACTGTAAAGCAGATGGTGTATGGACACATGGACCATATTTTTCATAAAAGTTTTACCATTACATTTCTTTCCATAATTACCTTCTTCAGTGCAACAAATTGCTATAATTTTACAGCTAAATTAATCCCAATATTAAAAGATTTTCAGGAAGGTTTGCTTTTGACAAAATATACAAAGAAATGCTTACTTCATATTTTCACAAAGATTTACCAGATCAGTAAACCCAAAAATTGTGAGGATGTATTTCTTTATAACTTTCATTACACTTACCAATATTTCGTGTGCCAGCACCTCTAGAAGTGAGATCAAGTTATGTCCATCACGGAGATCTTCATACAAGTCCACTATTCTCCTTCCAGCCTGGAAACAAAAGAGAAGGCAACATGAGTGTTTTTGATCGAGGTGACTTAAAGATGTGAGACTTTCATGGACAGCAACTTCTGGATGGACAACAACTCCCTGACCTTTCTGTGTTTGCTTACACTAGCGCTCAGCAATATTCCTGCAGTCAATATATAACTGAGTCTTGACCAGACAATCCAATGATTGTAATCCTGACCATCGATCTACATAATTGGGATTCGATGACATGCATAGGTGCTGAAGACTAAGAAGAATTCTAACCCGGTTTTTCATGGGCAGATTCTTCTAACAACATTTCAGGGCTGCAAAGTATATGTACTTTCAATTTCAATATCAAAGATTTCTATCATCAAAGACTGAACAGTGTCACTGTAAACCATTGGCGGATCCAGAGGGGGGGTTCAGGGGGTTCGAAACACCCCCAACCCCACGAAAATGACTTAAGACTACATTGAAGATTTTTTTTGAGTTGGCAGAGCCAATAGGGGATTCAGGGGGTTCGAATCGCCTGATCCCCCCCCCTTTCAAAATTCCTGGATCCGCCCATGGTAAACTGTTACTGTGGAGTGTTTAACATACATGAGGGAAGAAATTATCAGAACATTGGACAATCACATGTAATGTAATGTTTTGAAATTGAAGGAAAGATATTTGTTTACTGTGAACAATCACTCCATACAACAAACATTTCAGTGTACAATGTTGCAAAATTGACATTTCATAGAACAAGATTATTTCAGTTGGAAATTGTGCAAACAAACTAAATCATAACAGTTCTTGATACTTTGCCTTATGTCACTGGAAAAAAAGGAGTCTTTCTCAGAGTTTAAGAACATTTCATAAATTTATCTTTGTTCAAACAGCAAGGAAGAAACGACATAAATGGCCGATAAATTTTCTTATTAGGTTACAAGTAAACAGGTTCTTCCCGAAACTCAGATATACCCTCATCCAATTAATCCAGGTTGTATAAGCCAATAACCTTTCTCAAATTTCTCCTCTGATAAGTTGTAACAATATTTATGATATAAGGGAGGTAACTCCCCACACACGACTGCTATCAGCTGGAGGCACGAGGCAGGCACACAGCTGGTTGATTTTGAGATGAGGGGGGACCCATCAGTGGGGCTCTCACTTGAGCCTATCATCGCAACAAATCTGGGCAGATAAAAGTGCCAGGCACTACAGCTATACAATTTACAGCAAACAGCTGTTAGAAGCCTAAAAAGAAAGTCCACCCTCTCTTATTACAAGATATCAGATATTAAAAGCCAAAGAGATTGATTAAGTCCATCTCCCTGTTCTTGAGATCTACTCGAAAACTAGGTCTTCGAATAGATTTGGTCTGTTAATATGCACACCATAACACTGGCAAATGTAAGCACGAGACAATGGGTTACAGAGTTATAGCAGAAAAAAATACAATGTGAGTGAGTTTAGTTTTACGCCGCCTTTAACAACATTCCTGCAGTGTCATAGCAGGGAACACTATAAATGGGCGTTTTATACATTGTACAGAAGTAGGGAATCGAACCAAGGTCTTCGGCGACATGAGCAAACACTTTAACCACTAGGCTACCCCACTGGGCTTAAATACATTGTACATTATATATTGCAATAATGAACTCATTAACACTATACTAATTCTTTTTTTTTTTCATTTTGTAAATTTCCAATTCATTACTTCATTCATTCAAAAGTATGAAATAGGTTTTAAAACAGTTTATACTGAAAAATTTCATTACACTGTGGGAAGTCCCTTTTTTGAACATTATTCCAGTCCTGTCAGCCTACTATGGGAGGGAAGTCCCAAGTTACACTGACTGACTGACTGAGTTTGGTTTTACGCCACTTTTAGCAATATTCCAGCAACATCACGACGGGGGACACCGGAAATGGGCTTCACACATTGTACCCATGTGGGGATTCGAACCTGGGTCTTCGGCGTGACGAGCCAACGCTTTAACCACTAGGCTTAAACCAAGTTACACAGACCATTACCACTTTGGTTAAACCGAGCACGGATATGGTGCTTGCAAACCAACGTTCAAAATGATTGTGACTATGAGATCTGAACCCATGACCAGCAGTAATATCCTTGTTTTGATGATGCAAACAGGCCACCATCATAATTTGCATCATAAAACTGTCAGTACTTCTTTAAGACATCCGATGACTAAGACAAGTTGACTTCCCATATCATTGCTATCACCAGCCCAGGTGCAGCCTAAAGTCTATGCATACAGTGTCATGTACACACACCATGATCACTGTGCAAGAACGTACAAGAGTACTAACATAGCCTTTTTTCACTCAGTGATGGATATGATAATAATATCTTGAGTGCAAGTATGAACACAACACAAAAATTAACACGATACTTCATCTATAGAATGTATTTAATACTACCTTACATGAAATATTTTTTTCTTAATTTACAACCAAAGTACAATGTATATTCAAATTATGCTGTGCAACACACGCAATTTTTAACTACACATGCCATTGAGAAAGCTATTTTCTGTCCATGCTTGTCTACTAACAGAACTATGTTCTCACACCATGCATCTGAAACATTGATCGTGTCTATAGTGATGTGCCACTACACAATACACTGTGAGATTTAGAGAAAAACAAATATACTTAAACCTATTCCTACCCAAATCATCTCTTTAAAGGTGAGATATCTTAAAACTGTTCTGAATTGAAAATATTTCTAACAGCTTAGATCCAATTTCCATGAAAGATAACATCACTCTTACAAAGAACATGTTAAAGCAAATATATTGTAATTAATAATTTATTGTCATATATTTAAAACATACATACATTTATATTACTAAAAAGCCATAAACTTAACAGACTTGTGTACAACGTGAAAATACTACACTAAGCCAAACATATACTCACAAAGTTGAAACAAACATGTATAGAAACCATTTGACACACTTAAGCCAATGGATAGTCATAACAATATCCGTCAACATCAACACATAATTATCACAAAAAGACATTTAGAAATAAATAAAATGCACACAATAACTCTGAAACTAATCTTCACATAAGTATGAAAAGAAAAATCACATTTGCTAGAGTTTGAAAACTCCATGCGATCATGCACACGAAATGTACGACTACAGCTAGAGACATGAACGCTGAGAGTGTCAGCTGCAGCATTCTCCAAGCATGTTACCTGTGAAAACCTCCAATGCTGCATGTAATCAACAGGAAGAGGATACCACTGTCAGAAACAAACGTTACAGTTGTCAATGATGTAAAATATAATTACATGAACACAGTATTTGTATGGACACCTACTGGGGACAGAAATTGAAAAAAAAAAAGTGCAAATGTCCACAAGAAATTAATCTACAAGCCATAATTATTCTTTGGCATAATTTTCGGAACAACTTTTCCATATCATATTCATTTCATTTCATTACCAAAAGCTGTTTGGAAAACCAAAGTAAACCTTACTCCCAAACTGGAATTCAACAAAGGGTGTGATATCCAAGACATTAAGCACATCATAATGTAAAAGTCATATTTGAATTTTAAGCATACAAGTATTGACCAGGATCAGATCAAGACAAAATGATAGTATCAATGGTAACTCAGTACTGTGGTTTCTCTCTATGTAATGGGAGATAACTCTGTCAGGACGTTCTGTTATTCCCAGTACTGACTCATTTTACATTACTTCCTGTATCAGTTAAATCACAGATGTGTTGAAACACTATTACATATGATTGTTCCTGAAGTTCAGCCTCAGCTAGAAACATGGTTTTGTTATCAACAGATTATTGTGGTATGTTTTGACATCCATATCTCTCATCATAAATTATAAATTTGGTCCATATATTACTGTCTTTTGATTCTATCCCTTATCATACACTTCACTGTAGTATATACAGATATACACTGCATCTTCCCCACTGATACGAAGAGAGAGCCCCAAGCACAAAGCTGCAACCATATGTCACACGTTAGCCATGTCTACAACAGCTTGAGCTCTGCTGCTGGTGCTGAGAGATGGTGCAGGAACTATTACCCCTTACATGTTTGATTTTGTTTACATATCCACCGACTGTAGAAATAAACATGAACAGAACAGAAAAAAAAAGATTTGCAACTATTCCACTTACAACAAAAACTTTTGATGAAAAAAAAATAATATATTCTTAAAAATTTCAGCATCGTCTAAAATGATGACATAAAACTGTGTCTAAGTGTTCTTTAACAAATCAGCAACAATATGAAACTTAAAACTGCAATAAAAATTACACTAGCAGGGACAATTAAAAGTAACAGAACCAATGAGACTGAAATTATTTAATTTCACAAAACTTATTAAATAGATATACACATTAAGTAATATTTCAAAATCATTTTTAGTTATGATTGATGTTTTAATGAAATAAAATTCATAATCCAATTCTAATTTTAAACTTGTCTCATCAATGTTCAGGCACTGACAAGTTCGAGGTGTACAATGGCTCACTATCTCGAGGAGGAATACTGAGGTGGAGGTTGCACACGTTGCTGGCCCCAGTGCAGGGAGACTGTTATCATACATTGTACGAGGTGTACGTGTCCTTGTGACTCATGCACAGGCTTCATCTAGTCTGTTATCTCACATATCCTCGCCCATAACAGATTCATCACACACCTACTATACCTATCAATGTCAGGGTTGAATCTGTGTTAGGTATACATAGCTTGCTGTGATGATAATCAAAACCAACAGGCTTTGTCTCAGAGATTCAAATTGCAAATGCATTTTGGCAGGAATATCATTATTACAGAGCTGTGAGAACGAAGGCTACAGCCTATTGCTATCTGGCTAAGCAGATTTGATTAATGATGGTTGGAATCTGTCCTAGTCACTGGGAGCTGATACCTGTAATTTATTTCCCTCTATACAACCTGAAGTGACATACATCTGAAAACATCTCAAACTTGTCACCATCTCCATTAGCTAATTCCATCTGATGACCTCAGCTTCTCTTAGTCATCAGCGACAAGAAAAAGAAACACGTCTTAGACCTCGTCCAACACTAAGGCTTAGCACAAAATGTTTTAAACTGGTTTCAGATCTTAAACAGACTAAGGAATCATAAACTCTGTATTTGAATGAACTATAACATCATATGAAGTTGACAATCAGCAGATTACAAAGTCACAAACATGAATATTCATCCTTCAGTAGACTCGGTTGCAAAGTGAAACCTGTTTTAACAGCTGAATACAGTTCCAAGTGGAAATGTCAGGATTAACAAATTATCACACTTATGCACTTTTTGGTTCATGATTATGGAGCAGTGAAGCTTTGTCTACATTATATTCCCAACAAGACCTTTGAAAGCTGGGTTTCCTTCAAACATGGTTGAGACTTCTTTTTTTTCTCAATTAGATTCAGTTCTGATGATATCAAGAGTTCAAGAGAAGACAGTGAAATTACTATCCATAATGGCACATCTGTAATAGTTTCAGTTCGTTTTTCAATCCTGCAAGCTGGCAAAATCAATGATGAAATGCGTGGATTTAGCATCAGCCCATTCTGGTCGGTTTACCAGTTTACAGGATTACCTCCCCTTGATTGACTTCCCAGCCTGCCCCAGGTAAGTTGTCTTGAACTTGCCTAGCAAACATCAGTACAAGAATGGCCACCTACCATACATAGATGATATCAAATCTTTTAGTTTATCAATTAAATTGTTTTCCTTTTATGAATTCCAGTGGCTATCTGCTCATCTCCAGTGGGTTTGATGAGATAAAATTTAAATATACCAGCCAACATATGGTAACCAATGATAATGAGAGAAGAAGTGAACAACATGTCTGTCAGTTAGCAATCATCACGACACAGTTCATCCATGTCACAACAAAGATTGAGGGCAGTTGTGTAGTCTAGTGGTTAAAGAGTTTACTCATCATGTAAAAGACCCGGGTTCAATCCCCCAGATGGATAAAATGTGAGAAGACCATTTCTGGTACCCCAAGCCATGATCTTGCTGTGAAATTGCTGAAAGTTGTGTAAACTCATACTCTCTCACTACACACTTAAGACACAGTTTCAAGTAATTTTCAACTGGTCATAGTAGTTGACCGACCGTTTCTTGTTAAACGCTAATCTCGGCAATATTCCAAACAATCAATTCTGAACCAGACAATGCAGTGATTTATATTATTGTAAATGATAAAAAAGTGAAGAAACCAAGCAATTAAAAAAAATCACCATGGTGTGATTAACTCATGGGATGCAAATACTTTTTTTTACTCTTGATATGGTAATTTCATGACAATTAACTTCATATTAGTAAAATATTCTCCATTGTAAAAAATCCCTCTCAACATATATAAGCAGAATATTTTGTAATTGTCAACAATAATCTAGCAATAAGAAATATTTCAAAACAAAACAATGTTTATGTGTAATAATGGAGAGAATAGTTTGAATATATATTGCACATTGACTTCTCGGCAGGTTTTCAAATGTTTTTTCTTTCACTTGTGTGATACAGGCTGATAAAGTCATGAAATTGACCTGGTTTCGCTGACTCAGCATACTTCTTTCATCAATAATGTGAGCCATTTAATCACCCAACAATATCATCACAAGTCATCCCACCTTGTACTTCATCATAGCCACGGCAACCTCCCCGCTCACTGAAGCATGTCAATATCACCATGTGTCCGTGGTATAAAAACTGACAACTGGGGTTAAGTCATTTTAATCACCTACATGCCTTTACAATGCAGTACAAAACCAGCTCTTATAGCCCAGGAGTGTCAGTTTCAATACGACTCTCGGTGTACACTATGTACATACCACAGCAATAAAATAGACAGCAATAGGCCACATGTGGTTTGATTATAGAGCTGCCACGCCTGATTACACTGTATATCATGGAGTGAAATATACATGAATCGATCACTCAAAATCCTGTCTGTTACAAAGACTCTCCATTATAACCATATTGCGAGATCTTCAATGAAAATGTATCAGGGTTCATGTATCACACCAGCTGATAAATTCTCGTTTTGAGAACACTTAACATGCAATAGTCCTAGGTCGACCTCATAAATGAGTCAGTAAAATAGAATATATATACAGTGACAGTTAACCCAGATATAGAATTCCTGGAGAATCAGTATCAGTATATACACATTAGCAGGTTAAATATTCGTCAGTATGGTGTAATGGCACTTTGTATGTATACAGGGCTCCAGATAATTGTCCGTATCAAGCATATTTTCCGTACATATGCCCATACGACCCTTATCTCGAGCCCCGTGTATATACTACTTCAGTAACCCATGCTTGTCGTAAGAGGCGACTAACAGGATCGGGTGGTCAGGCTCGCTGACTGGGTTGACACATGTCATCGTATCTAAATTGCGTAGATCGATGTTCATGCTGTTGATCCCTGGATTGTCTGGTCCAGACTCGATTATTTACAGACCACCTCCATATAGCTGGAATATTGCTGAGTGCGGCGTAAAACTAAACTCGCTCACTCACTACTACTCAAAATATGTTAAAGAAAGTCTTTTGAGAAGTATATATCCTCTGATCACTTAATGTCCGGACTGTAGATGTCTCAGCATTGATGATAGTACTGAATGCAAATTTGGGACATGAAGTGTGAAATGAAATTACCACACTGGACTGAGTGAGTGAGTATGGTTTTATGCCACTTTTAGCAAAATACCAGCAATATCATGGTGGGAGACATAAGAAATAGGCTTCACACACTTTACCCATGTGGGGAATCAAACCCAGATCTTTTTCGTGATGAGCGAATACTTCAAGGCTACCCCACTGCCCCACCACTCTGGACTGAGATACCTCATGTATAGTAAGGAGTGAGTGAGTGAGTTTGGTTTTATGCCGCTTTTAGCAATATTCCAGCAATATCACAGCAGGGGACACCAGAAATGGGCTCTGCACATTGTACCCATGTGGGGATCGAACCCAGGTCTTCCATGTGATGAGCGAATGCTTTAACCACTAGGCTACCCCACCACCCGTATAGTAGAGAAGATTCACCTACACTAGATAAAGAGAAGAATTTGTCATAAAAATCAATAATTTACCTGCAGATCATGCAGAACCTTTATTTCCTTGTCACATTCAAACATGAGCACACAAATACAGGTGTAGCCTGTGAGTTCTCCAAAGCATATTTCAATTTCCTGACAGCCAATATTTAAGCAGAACACCCTGAGACAATATGA